TGGGGAATCTCCTTCAATTATCTGCTCTTCCTCCCAATTCAGAACTAAATCTGGGGCTTATCATCGGCTGTGTTGTGGCTGGCCTTGTCTTGGTGTGTGCAATTGTTGGGATCTTGGCTTTTATTTACATTCTCAGTAAGTATTCTTTTTTGGGTTCTGGGGGAAGATAGGAACATCTCTCCCAAGTCTCTCCCTTTGGGGAGCTTCTTCCGGGCTTCCTTCTGTCCTGTTTTCCCAGCCTTCTTGGGGAGCCTCTGGGACTCAGCCTCTTGCTGGGACTCCATTCTCGATTCAGCTGAGTCTGAGGTTGGGACAGTCCCGTCTTCTTCTGAGCTGGGAAGAAGCATCCCAGTTCTCTCCCTTTCAAAGTCTTTGGTCAAAGAGCAGCAGAGAAGGATTTCCATGAAAACCTTCCTCCCCTCCCAGCTGCTTCTGCTGCTTCCCCCAATTCCCCTCCATCCCTCTCAGAGGCAGCAGGTTTCCCTTGGGGCAAATCAGGAGATACTTTTGTATTTTGAAGATCTTTCTGTCTTTGTTGAGGGGTCAAAGGAAGTGTGAAATATCCCCTGGGGTTCTTCCTCCTAGAGAGGAGAGATTGGATGATCTCTGGTGGATTCTTTTGAGCTTTCACTGATTTTTATCCTTGCAGAGAGACGTCAAGATGACCATAGAGCAGCACCGAGTGAATTGTCCTCTTTACAAGTAATCGCCAACTTAGAGCAGGAACCAGATGCGCCATCACTTGAGAGGTGTGTGTGTGTGTGTGTGTTCTATCTTCCTCTTCATCGTAAAAATCTGGCTGGGAAGATGGGCCCCCTATTTATTACAGCCAGGCTATTTTGGGAAGTGGGGTCCTCAAAGAGAAACCTTTGGGACAAGGAACCTTCCAGAAGATGAGAATATACAGTTGGTGGAAGGTCCCTCTGACTGAGGACATGCTCTGTTTCCCAAGTGGGCGGAAAGGAAAGGCTTGGCCAAATGACAGTCAGAAGCTCCATCAAATTAGGGATCAAAAGGGGGCATTTTGAGAAAAAAGGAGCTTTAGGGAATGCCAGCTGGATCTCCTCTTGGTCTCCCATCACAAGGCTCTCTAAGTACGAACTGATTGGAAAAAGAAACTTTGGATACTTTGCATTCTCAGTAAGTATTCTTTTGGGGGGTTTGGGGGGAAGATGAGAGATTCTTCCCAAATCTCTCCCTTTGGGGAGCTTCTTCTGGGCTTCCTTCTGTTTTCCCAGCCCTCTTGGGGAGCGTCTGAGCTCTCAGCCTCTTGCTGGGACTGCAGTGTTGACTTGGCTGAGTCTGAGGTTGAGACAGTCCCGTCTTCTTCTGAGTTGGGAAGAGGCATCCCAGTTCTGTCCCTTTCAAAGGCTTTGGTTGAAGAGCAGCAGAGAAGGATTTCCATGAAAATCTTCCTCTCATCCCAGTTTCTGCTTCTGCTTCCCCCAATTCCCCTCCTTCCATCCCAGAGGCAGGAAGTCTCTCTTGGGGCAGATCTGTCCTTCTGTAGACTGAAGATCTTCCCGTGACCGTGAACAGGAGTAGCCAGGAGGTGTTGTGACTAAACAACTGTGAAGTATCTCCTGGGGCTCTTCCTCCTACAGAGGGGGACATTGGATGATCTCTGGTGGATTCTTTTCAGCTTTGACTAATTTTTCTTTTTGCAGAGAAATATCAAAATAACAACAGAGCAGCATCCAGTGTGTGATTTGTCCTCTTTACATGTGAGCTCCATCTCAGAGCAAGAATCAGAGGCAGCATCAGTTGAGATGTGTCTGTGTGTCTGTGTGTCCAAGCACAAAAGAAGCTCATGAGGAGTTGTGCTAACTTCCTCTTCCTCTCAAGAGCTAAGATTTGGAAGGAGAGCCTCTTTTCATAACAGCCAGGATTTTCTTGGGAGTGGAGACCCCAAGGAGAAACATCTGGGACAAGGAATCTTGAAGAGGAGGAGAAGACCCAACTGGGTGGAAGGTCCCTCTGACTGAGACGCTGCTCTGTTTTCCAAGAAGGTGGAAAGGAAAAGCTCGGCCACCACATGATCAGCAGGAGGCATTTTGAGAGGAAAGGAGGTTTGGTAGATGCCAGCTGGATCTCCTCTTGGTCTCCCACCACAAGGCTCTCCAAGTATGAACTGATTGGAAAAAGAGACTTTGGAGCATCCGTATGTTGTGCTTCTTCTGTGTCTGGTTTTGGTGAAACTAGAATTTATTTGAATAGTTTGGGAGAATTTTGCTAGGGAACCTGAGGAGCTAATCATTCAGAGAGAGAAGAGACCTGGGGGAGTCAGGAGGGGGTGACTGAGATTTTGTCTTCCCAGGAGACATGGGGTGAATTTGGTCTGGGGCCTCCTGAGGGAGCGGATGGGGCCCTTTGCAGCAGAGGCTCTGCCAGGT